TCATCTTCCTCATCATAACCTGCAAAGGGAATAAGATCACTAACATTAAAAGTGTTACTTACTCTATAATCACTGGGAAGATCTAACCTGTAGGCATTATCATTGATTCTTTGGAGGACCTGAAAGGGACCATCTCCTCTTGGATTAAGTTTAGACTTCCTTTGAGAAGGAAACCTTTCCTTTCTCAAATGAAGCCAAACCCAATCTCCTTCCTCAAAGATGAGGTTTTTCTTTCCTTTACTTCTTTCTAAAGCAGTTGTCTCATTTTGTTGTTGTATATGTGTTTTAACCTTCTCATGTAGTTTCTTTACAAATTCAGCCCTAGATACCCCTTCTTTATGAAAATAGTGAGAAAAATCTGGTAGAGGTATTAGGTCCAAAGGAGTAATAGGGTTAAAACCATACACAACCTCAAAAGGTGAAATTTTGGTAGTCTTGTATACTACCCTATTATAAGCAAATTCAATATGGGGCAAGTACTCATCCCAAGACTTATGGTTACCCTTAAGGACTACCCTTAACATTGTAGATAGAGATCTATTAACTACTTCTGTTGGACCATCAGTTTGAGGGTGACAAGTAGTAGAGAAAAGTAGTTTAGTTCCTAGCCTACTCCAAAGATTTTTCCAAAAATGGCTAAGAAACTTAGTGTCCCTATGTGAAACAATAGTTTTGGGTAGACCATGAATTCTAACCACTTCCTTGAAGAAGAGTCTTGCTATGTTGCTTGCATCATCTATCTTGTGACAAGGTATAAAATGGGCCATTTTACTAAATCTATCCACTATCACAAAAATAGAATCCATGCCTCTCTAGGTCTTGGGCAAGCCCAAAATAAAATCCATACTGATATCAACCCATGGAGAGTTAGCTTCTGGCAAGGGTGTATAGGAGTCATGAGGCATTACTTTAGACTTTGCTTGTAAACAAGCTATACATCTAGAGCAAAACCTCTTAACATCCCTTCTCATATGGGACCAAAAGAATTTTTCCTTTAAGAAACTGAGAGTCTTTTCAACTCCAAAATGCCCCATGAGACCACCCTCATGACTTTCTTTAACAAGGAGTTTTCTAATAGATCCTTGGGGTATAGATATCCTTCCTTCTTTATACAAGTACCCCTCAGAAATATAGAACCCTCCTTGAGGCTTTGCTAAGCATTGGGTATAATTTTAATTGAACTCGAGATCATTAGTATACAATTCCTTAATGTGATCAAATCCGAAAACTGGGGTGTTACAAAGTTAAAACCATCTATGGGCAAGATCAAAATTTTTTTAAGTTTCGACAGATGGTGATTCCACTAAGGATGCTTAAAGAGGGCCAGACCCATTAATTGACGAATTTAGCAAAATAAAAATAAAAATTCAAATATTTACCCATTTTATTTAGTTTTTAAATATTTATTTATCTTGTAAATATTTATTTGTTTGTTTCTTGTTTGTTAATATTTATCTATTTTTTTAGTGTGGCTTTAATATCCGTTGCTTGTTTAAATTTCACACTTTGTTTGAAATAAAAATGTACACAAACCATTGCACACACAAGTCTCCCTACACCCGAGGGCAAGAATGGATAACCATAGGGAGTGGTTGATGTATGGTCGACCTAAGTGATGGCCTTAAGCCTGCAAGTCGTTGTCGGAAGTCACACTCATCAATATGATAACCGGTTACTCTAGCTAGAAATACTATGACAGACCCTAAAGTCTACCACGTGACAGACCCTAACACTTTCTCTCATGTTACCACTAGTCATGAAGTGGAGATTCAAAAACAAATATTTTCTAAAGAAAAAGAATCTCAACTTCAAGAATTAGTGAAGAAGAATTGGACTTCACTTAGTCCCACTTCTTGTGCTACTTCCTTCGTGGTGCCCAAGGAAGATAATCCTTCTTTCTTTAAAACTCTTTCTACTTTAGTTCTCTTCATAAAGCACCCAACTTTTGGTTTGTATGGTTTGTTGGATACATCTCATAGTGTTGTATCTTCTATTTTTGATCTTGAAGGAAGTTCAAACTTATTTGAACTTAACTTGGTTACTTCCCTACAAGACAAACTTAGATTATATGAGTTTTCTAGACTCCTCTTAACACCTTTTTCTCATATGTATCTAACAAATAATGGAATACAAAGTTGTTTAGGTAATTTTTTAGTTAAGTTTTCTTTATTTTCCAATACATACCTAGGTCACTACATTGGGTACCTCCAACAAGATATTTTAGTTCTTAGGACTAATGCATTAGTGTGCTATAGTTTTAGTCTTTTTACCTTTTTAGGTTTTAGTTATACACCTATGCTTCATCATGGGGAGGATCCTATCCTTAGCATTAGAGAGTC